AGTCGTCCTAGAGCATCACCTTTCAAGCTTGTCTAAGCTTGAGAACTTGTTAGAAATGCAAATTCTCAGGTTCCACCCCAGATCAAATGGATCAGAAACTCTGGGGGTGGGACCCAGACATCTTGATTGAACATGCCCCCTAGGTGATTCTGATGCTTGCTAAGGTTTTTGAAACACTTCCCTAAGGAAATGTAACTTTGACTATTTACTGTTCATTAGGGCCCAGACTGAGTGAACATCTAACTGTAGAAAACTCATAAAATGTGAATAATTGTCTGGAAGAGATGTAGATGATTTCTGGAGAATAAAGATAAAAAACAAGGTTTCATTGCCTTGTGGAATATTAACCTATTTTATGTCTAACTTAGCGATCTTATTCCAGCATTCTTTTCCTCCTCACTGATTATATACATATTTCCATCTCTTATATCCTCTTTTGAACTGGCTTTGTTATCCTCATGGTTCCCTTGTCAATGAGTTCAAGAAATCTTTGACACATGCTCACTATATATCTGTATGAGAATGATCTTTGTAGCTTTTTGGAAACTATACTTACACAATCTTATTCCAGTTAAACCAATGCATGTACTAGTGCTGTGCCAAACTGAGGCAGTGACATCCCTGTGTATATGAGCCAATGTCCTTGGTTCATCTTCCACACAGGACACACTTCGGCCAGGGGCAGGATTCTCCAGTCAAAGACTCATATCTCTCAGGTCTGTTTGCAAATATCTGGGCAGTTATCATACAAAACTGCCTGCATGATTTGTGCTTTTCTTAAAGTGCAAAGAGCCAGATCCAGGAGAAGAAAAATAATTTGGGGGTGGGGGAGATAATGGAAAAAATCCCAAGCTTTTGCTTACATTTGGAAAAAGTGCTTGATTGTATTTCATCAATAAAATGATCAATGAAGAAGATCTATCTATCTATCTATCTATGTATCTATCTATCTATCTGTTTAATCCTCATATTGTAGGGAATATTGTTCTATACAGCACAAAGATTAGGCACATGGAATGTACCTGTTGACTAGGTTTTTATCAGTTTCTCCTTCTGGTGAACTGGCCTCCCCAGTCAGGATGATGGTAGGTGGACTGCAGGATATTTCTGCAGTGTGAGGGCCCTGGTGGTTCAGAACAAAAACACAGATGGAGTTAGATTTAGGATGATGGAAGCTCCCAGGAGGTGGAGCTAGAGCATTTATTCCAGTATCATGACACTCAGAACCATCTTGATAAAGGTTGAATGCAGTTTATTTGGATTATTCAAGGGGGAAAAAAGGAAAGCAAGAAAGTAAAAACACCATTTCTCCTTCATTCCCCAGCAAGCGTTCACTGAGCTTAGCATGTTCTACTTTTCATGCACCAAGTTTTGGGAACCTCTAAGCCACCCCTGGTTAGTCCTCACTAAGAATCTAGAAAAAGAATGGTGCAGAGGCTTAGGCTGCAGCCAGCCAGACTGGGGAAGGATGCATCCACACATTCCCAATATTCACTGAGAGCCCATATTGGGATAATTGTGACATTTTGATAATTTAATTTGTGACATTTAATTTGTATAACCTTGAAAAATGTTTATCTAATTACACATTTCTGAAATTAGGACAAAAGTTATTAGCCAGTACTTAGATTTTTTAGGTATTTAAAAACCATTAAATAAAACTACTAACAGTAAACGTGAGAGTTTTTCCATTCTGGGTTGGTGAGGCTGTAGTGAAATCAGTATACAGTTACACCGTGATGGTTGTGTGAATGGTAACACCATATCTGGACTATAATAAATATTGGTTGAGTGAGTGAATAAGTGATTCGAATAAAGCACTATAGGGTATACAATAAGGTCCATAAAGATGCATGTCAACTTGCACTTTCCCACACCTAAGTGTACTGGGGATAAAAATAGGACTAGATAACAGTAACACACAGTGTCTCTCTGGTTCTTTTGCCACCTACTGTTGCTGTATTTCCATCTCAGAATCATTCCCAGTTATGTCTGGGCATCTCTCTAGGGGTCCTCTTATATGTACCCTTATCGTTTTCCTTCTCTTCTTCCCTGATCCCCAACCCCCTTACTGGTGTGTGCTGCCAGGGCTCTCTATGAACACCACACAGTCCCTGCCAAGACCTGTCTGCTAACACTCTTAAGCATGTCACATTACACCACCTCCCACTGTTGGTGTGGCTTCCTGGAGCTTCAGAGCAGTGGGTCACCATTGCCACTTTGAGGACTGTGTCCTTCTGGAGCTAATGGCCCTCCTGAAGCCATTGCCTGGGGGCTGCCCTCACAGACCCAGGGCTGAGCTGTGTTCTTGAGCCCTTAGCGTATACGTATTGACTCTTTGCAAGGTTGGTGGGGAGGCCTTCTCTCCTTTTCTCATTATTACTTGTTGTTAAGTGGGTTCCATATGGTGCTATCTGTACTTCTTAAATCCCACAATTTTTAGTGAAACCAGCTCTTCCCATTTTCATTTGTATCTCCTCCCCTCCCTTGGCTTCAAACATAAAGGCTGGATGAGATAGAGAGTTGTCTCAGAGTCAGGCCAGGGAATGCCAGATCCCTGTGTTCCAAGACCTCTTCAGCTGGAGAGAGGTGCAGGGATTGGAGGAGGTGGAAGCACTCAGAATCTCTGAGCACATGGAAGGAAAGTTTGGGCAGGGACTTTGGCTAGATAGGAGGAGTAGAAAACAGTATTGCCTATTGGAAGAATCATACAGACCTGTGCTCAAATTTATGCTCACCATCCACTAGCTGTGTGTCCTTGAGCAAGTTATTTAACCTCTCTATACCCCATGATCATAAAATCTAACTCACAAGGTTGATGTGAGTTTTAAAAATAATGTTGAAAAAGCACCTAGCACATGACTGGCGTTTTCAATAAATAGTTCTATTACTGTCATATAACTTTTCTCTCTCCTTCAACAAAGACACTTTAGTTATCCATCATGTGCCAGGAACAGCTTGAAAAACAAAGACCCTCAAGACCTCACAAGCAAGGGATACAGAGAAGTAATGAATACTTATAATAAATTTAAGCTGAAAAGAAATGGACCACATTCTGTGAAAGTTCAAAGGAAAAGAAGGAAAACTCATCAGGGGAGTTGAAGACTCTCCAGAAGAGAGGACATTTGAGCTAGGCTTTGAGGGATGGATGGGAGCTTGTAAGACAAAGATAGTAGGGAAGAGGTTTTGGGCAAAGGGAACAGCATTAGTAAAAGACATAACTGGGCATTAGGGATTTATCAGTGTAACTGGAGTGTGGATTATGGGGTATGTAAGATAGAAAGGTCAAGAATGGAACTGCAATATTGTGGTTTATGAGAAAAAAATATATATATATAGTCATTCAGATAACCAAAGTATATTTCTCATATATATTTGGTCTTCATCCACAGTTTCTAGCTCACGGCTCCCAAGACCCTTGGAATTTCCTGAGCAATAAGAGCAATGGAAAAATCTCTTCTTATAATATTTGGTATCTTATAATATTTGCCCTCAGTTCTGAACTTCCTTCAGAGCCATAAAGGTGAAATGGGTGTCTTTTATTTATAACAAGCCCTTTTCACCACAGCTGAGTTTATGTTAATGAAGGTGACTTTTGCAAGACATCTATGCATGGAAGTTGGTTGCCAGGGAAACAACCATGCATAGAGGGTGGGAACTTTCAGTCCCACCCCCTGATTTCTGGGGATGGGAGAGGGGCTAGAGGTTGAATCAATCCCCGATGGCCAATGAGTTAATCAATCATGCCTACATAATGAAGCCTCTAAAAGGAGGAGGTTCAGACAGTTTCCATGTTGGGAAACCAGAACATTTCCACATGCCACTGTGCCACATCCCAAGCTCCATGAGGACAGAAGCTCCTTTATTCAGAATCTCACCTTGTGTATCTCTTCATCTGACTGTTGATTTGTATCCTTTAATATACTTTGTAATAAATCATTAATCTAGTGAGTAAATGGGTTTTCCTGAGTTCTGTGAGTCACTCTAGCAAATTATCAAACCTGAGGAGAGGATCATGGGAACCTCTGATTTCTAACCAGTCTATCAGAAGCACAGGTGACAACCTGAACTTGTGATTGGTGTCTGAAGTGAGGGCAGTCTTGTAGGACTGAGTTCTTTACCTGTGGTTCTGATTCTGTCTCCAGGTAGGTAGTGTCAGAATTTATTTTAATTCCTCGACACCCTGCTGGTGTCAAATAATTGCTTATTTGTAGGGCGAAGACTACAACACAAACACACACACTGGAAATAGAATAAATAATGGAAATAGAGGCAAATAATGGAAATAGAATAAAAGGATGAGCCAGCCTCTGAAGGACATTGGGTGTTATTCCAGTGAGTTTGATTTTTATGGTTTCAGACATGGAGAACACTGAAGGTCAGGTTTGGGAATAACTTGACTACCCAAAGAGAAAACATAGAAATGTTGACAGCAGATCCATTCATGGATCATCATGATGCACATTGGTTGAGATGATGGAAGAAGCCCTGTTACTATAGTATCCATCTACCGCTTAGGAATTTTGAGAAGCTTCCAGTAAATTGGAGCTGTGTTACTCTCCATTTGGCCAATGTACAGTGACAGGGAGTTAGTATGATGCTTGTGACTGGAACCAAGACTGGCCAACCTATCCTCACAACTCCAGAACTCCAGTCCCTCCGAGAACACAGGTATCCATAATTCTTTCAAAGACTCTTGTAAGACATGCTCAAGAAGTTTCCCAAAAAAAGCAATAGCTCCTTCTATAGATAGTATAAGCTTGATGGGCTAGTGATGAGCTGGTTACTTGCTTTGTCCTCTTGTTACCCTGTCAATTCCCATAACTATAAAATTGTTAAAGGCCTGCTCTGTCTCAGAAGTTTATGTGAATAAAATGAAATGATGAATGTGTATGCACTTTGATAAGTGTCATATGGTCTACAAATATCTATTGATCATGATTATCATTAAAATGAACAATGGCTGTATTCAGTTCTCCCCACCTTTTGTCCCCTGGTAGGAGGCCAGCAAGAGGCAGAGAAGCTGGGGCCTTCCAAGGGGCGAGAAAGGAAGCAGGAGGATCTTGGGTCATGATGTGGGACCTGATGACACACAGTGGAACAGCATCCAGAAGAGCTGCTGAGGTCAAAAAGGGGAATCAAAATGGTAGGTCACGGGCTGAAACTGGAGCAGACAGGACCAGGGGCAGTTGCCAGGCTAAATGGGAGAGCCAGTAAAAAGGGCGGAAAGGGGATGGATCCTCCAGTGAGCAGAAAGAAGGGCTGAAGGTTTTCCAGAGGCTTTTCTTCGTGTCATTACCAGGGTTTCTTGTTGTGGTTTCTTGGATCTCAATGAAAGAATTAGCTATTCTCTGAGGTACAAATTAGAGACCTGGAGGGCCATTTGCTAAATAATGTTTATAAATTTTTATATTAGTTGTCAACATTTATAATTGGAAGAATTCCCATAAAGGTCTGGATTTCCTGCTTTTCCTGAAAAACCAAGAGACCAAGCCATCTTGGGTCTGCATTTCTGCAGAGTAACTGTTGGTCTGCTTCTGTAGCTTGTTTCAATCATTTGTACTCCCTGACTGGCCCTGAAAGCATCCAAGTTACTGCCCCTGTGGCACATGATTCTTAACCTGAAAACCAAGGTTTTCTGAAACACAGGAGGTTTGTGCTTAAAGCCTCCTTGACTCATGACACCTTTTTTTTTAAACCACTTTATTAAGGTATGATTGACATATGAAAAGCTATCCATATTTTATGTATATACCTTGATGAGTTTAGAGATAAGTATACACTTATGAAACTCTTATCACAATTTATGCCGTAAGTCCATCTATCACTTCTCAACATTTCTTCCTTTTGCCTTCTTATTTATTTATTATTGTTATTGTTGTTGTGATAAGAATGCTTATAAGATCTACCCCGTTAGAAAACTTTTAGGTATACAACACAATATGGTTAAGTCTAAGCACTAAGCTGTACAATATATTTCATTTTGTGTAACTCCCACATCGTCTTGGTGGGATTCCTTTTGCCTTCTTATTTATTTATTATTGTTATTGTTGTTGTGATAAGAATGCTTATAAGATCTACCCCGTCTTGGTGGGATTTCTTTCCATACAGTCCAATGGGTGACTGCTACCATGGGAATTCCAATTGAAACGCTGATTTTTCTTATAGTATGTTTGAAATTCTTTCCCTGGGTGGAGTTTATTTCAACTGCAACAGTTTGTGCTCTAAAAATTACCTTTTTCATGATTTTCATATATAGAGAATTTCTTTCTTGTATGAATCCTCTGGTGAACAGGAAGAAATGCACTTTGGCTAAAATATTATTTTCATGCTCATTATATCATATGGTTTCTGCCATCTCTTGGGATGGGCTTTTATGAATTCCCAGCAGACATTAATGAGAATGAGGTAAGTCTACATAAAAGGGGTGGGAGAGCCAAACATTACTTTCTTCATGTTACATCCTAAAAAAAACCTTGTGTAGTGCTGTGGGGATTATAATATATACCCATTTCCAAGAGTCTAATACCTTCACTCTGCTAAGTAAGTAGAATACAATTAATTTATTTATTTTATTTTATTGACACACTACCTATTTCCCAAAGCAATTTGAAATAACCAGCAATAAAATCTAAGATATAAAAACATGAGGCTATAAAAATGGGGAGACAATCTGATAAATACAAACATCCCTAGCAGATAAGGAGAAATGCATGCTTCTCCTAACCATCCATGGTTTGACTCTGAAGTTAAACTATTTGACCTGAAACCAAATGAATCTGTGATCCATTTGGCCCAGGCTCTGAGAAAGATTGCTTTAAAGAATTATTCAGCAGACAAAAGACAAAAAGAGCCTCATTCTTCACTCTCAGCTCTCAAAGGACATGGAAGGAGATAATGCTTAACCATCCTCACCTCTCCTCTGCCCTTTGACTTTTCACTCCCCATGAAAATCCTCTCTTCCTTTCCCTCCCTCCTCAACTTACTCCTCCAGCTCCATCCAATTACTTATTGTACAGATTGTCTAGCCTTTCTTTTTATGGTTGGCTCGCTGAAGTTTTCAAAAGCCTTCTAGTCTAAGAAGTCAGTGTGTAAACATCCACACATTGTTATGCTTTATTCTCTCCAGCAAACTTACCGAATGCCTATCATGTGCTACAGTCTATGTAGAGCACAGGAAGAGAAAAGTGAAATAGGCAGACCTCTGAAGTGCTTCTCAGTTAGCACAAAGGGATGAGGAGTGGGTGAAAGCACCCCTCACCCCCACCCCAGGTATTGCCCAGGGCCTGGTGCCCTTACTGTTGACCTGCGAGGTAAATGGTCTGCAACGCACTAAGGAGCTTTCTTCTGGTGGAAGTTTTCTCTGCCTCCTGGCTGAAGACAACTTGCAGCAAAGCTCTCCTAAGGTGGCTGTCATGCACAGGGTTGTATGCACCCTCAGTCAGAGGAGGGTAGGGGCAGACATGCTCATAGAAAGGCAGAAACAAGCCATAGGTGGCAAGTGCCAAGCATGTAACCACAAACACATGCAATTCAAAGCAGCTTAAAAACCAGGAGGCACAAAGCAATCAGGGAGAAATCCTCTAATCCCCTGATGGAATGTCCTGGAATGCTCCTCACTCTCTCTTTTCAGTGCGTGCAAAATATACAATAATAAAATCAAAGTGTTCTTTCCCTAATCAGTACATAGAATGGATGAACAAGCTCTGTGAAAAACTGTTTTTGTGGGGAACATTCAGTCTCCTGTGGGCTGTTTCAGTTCAGTAGGCACTGAAGAGACAGGAATCCAGGAAAGTGTGGGAAGATTCCAGAGACCCTCTGGAGTGAATTCTGCCAGGTTGTAGTGTGTGTGATGAGTGTGAATACTCAACCCTGCTCCCAACCTGAGCTGCTAAACATAAGACAGGCCCTCAAGAAAGCTTGTGGTGCAGCATGTCCAAATATGGAGCTTACCAGTGAAGTTACTGGCTTCAGGACTTCAAGGGCCTTGAGCTTGGGAACCACAGTAATTCATCCATAGTACAGGTTCTCACTTACTAGCTGTGTGACCTTCAGCAAGTTACCTTGCCTCTGTGTTCCTTGGTTACCTCATCTGTCAAATAACTATCCCATAGGGTAGTTACAAAAATTAAACAGATTGATATGGAAATAAGATTGCGGGCTAAAATACAGGATGTCCAGTTATATTTGAACTTCGAATAAACAACAAATAATTTTTTAGTGTAAGTATGTTCCAAAATTGTATGGACATAGCTGTATTTTCATTTGCTAAATCTGCAGCTCCAGATGGAAAGCACCTGGCACTTAGCAAATGCTCAGTAAGTGTCAGATGTTATATTCTGTTATTGTTAACTTTGGGGCTGAATCAATTACTTTGGAGTTTGGTTTTGAAGAGATTGTTGTTCTTAGTTTTGAGTCTGATCAATCATTTGGAGTTAAATTAGGAGGGCCTCACTCTTCTGGTCATGGAGCCATAGAGCATCTTCCCTGGGCATCTTTCTGACCACAAAAGCCCAAGTGGTCTTGTAATCAGTGACTCCCAGAGAAGCCCACCTCCAAGACCACCTTCACTTGGCTCCACTCCCTCTCTTACCATCTGCCTCTGAGACCATGTAGAGATGTCCTTTGCAAGGTTACAGACATGAACAACAAAGGAACAAATGTGGGTAGAAGGGAGTGACACTTTCTTGGACTTCTAAGTGCGAGGCCCGATCCCAGACACTTCTGGTGTGTTTCCTCACTTCATCCTCCCAGCAGTTCTGCCACTGAATCTCAGGATATCCATCTACAAATTGGGGATGGTAATGCCTCCTAATGCCATAGAATCATAAAGAGGAAAGTGAAGGCCCTGAGCATGGAGTAGACAATGGATGCATTTCCTTTCTCCCTGCTTTTTCCTCATCAGCCCCCACTTTACCAGTGAAAGAAAGGACTTGTCCAGGACTGTGCAGCTGGAAAATAGTGGAAAGGACTAAATATTAGGCCTGCTGGCCTTCCCACTTCACCATGCTACTCTTATAGCTGTTTCTCCTGGTCTTTGGTCTCACCTCTCGTGGTTCCCGGTGTGTGCATGACACTCTGACACTCCTGTTATTCTTCCAGGCTGCTCCTGCCTTCACAAACACTTTCCTTCAGGAGGCCCTCCAGCCAGCACAAATTTGAACACGTAGTTGGAGGAAAGATGGCAGGGGCACCCCCTTACCTTTCCACAGGCCCAGTCTCACCAAGGGTCCATTTCCCTTCCCTGAAATCAGCCAAGCATGGAGGCCCAGGCTGTTTCCCCACAAGCTCACCCTATAATAAGCCAGCAGGTCACATTTTGTTCTCCTTAAATAAACCTTATAGAAACATTTAAATGTTTATTTCACTCATAAATTCCCAGGAATGCGCAACAGTTTCCTAACTGCTTGTATGCAGAGATAAATATAGGCCTGTGTCATAGACGGGAATATTATCTTCCCTTCCCCAACATCACATGACTAGGCTGGGTAGGAAGCTCTAAGAAACAGCCCCAGTCCCAGCCCTGGTGGGAGTGGGGAGTTCAGCTCCTGCCCTTGGGCCCTGGCAGATAGCCTGGGAGAGAAGGACCCAACTGGAAGCCAGTGTAGGGTAATACAGTTGGGGAGCCCTAGTGGGAATCCCACCTGGATGACCTTGGGCACTTTACTTAACTTTTCTGAGTTTCATATTCTCAAACATTATGTGGGCTAATAATCCCCATTTTCCAGCCTTGTTTGAAGGATTAGACAAGGTAAAGCAATATTAATAGTGATGATATTGGTGAGAATGGTAGTAGAGGTTGGGCCTTGTGGTGGCTGTATCCTTAGGTCCCTTTCTCATCACATGGAGGGCAAACACGGACTGTCTCTGTAGAGAGGGGCCCTGGCCACAAAGAGGAATTGGTGCTCTTGTGATAGGATAAAAGGACTCTGGGGACTTGGGAGAAAATTATTATTCTAGCAGCAAGTCCTAACAGCATGGGAGAGAGCAGAAATGCCTCTGCTGAAGTCTGCTGGATATTGGGCTCCTCCCTGCCAAGAACTGAGTACCAGTTCCTGGCTCCCCTAAAGCTCCTCAGTGCCCACCCTGTGGATCCCACTGTGTACCCAGGGCCTGCTTGCCTTTGGTGGATACTCTCTTTTTTTTAATGTTTTTTTCAACGTTTATTTATTTTTGAGACAGAGAGAGACAGAGCATGAACGGGGGAAGGTCAGAGAGAGGGAGACACAGAATCTGAAACAGGCTCCAGGCTCTGAGCTGTCAGCACAGAGCCCGATGCGGGGCTCACTCATGGACTGCGAAATCATGACCTGAGCCGAAGTCAGCCGCTTAACCAACTGAGCCACCCAGGCGCCCCTGGATACTCTTTCCTACCATTGTCCACTCTATTCCTAGAAGCCAAGGATCAACAACCACTAGATTATCCTACCTTCTTCATCACTGTTTTCACTCTCATGCCAAAAAACATCAGGAGTGTGGAAGTACATGCAATGTCTATTAGTCATACTCAGTGGAGAGTGTATCTATCACCCAGCCAGCCATTCATTCATTATCATCTTCTATCCTTTCCTCCTCCCTCATTTTCCTCCTGTTTCTCCCTTCATTTCTTCCTCCCTTCAATTCAGGCATTTAATCATTCAGCCAGCCAATTATCCACCCAACCTTTCACAAAAACATCCATCCATCCATCCATCCATCCATCCATCCATCCATCCATCCACCTATCCATCCACTTATCCATCCATCCATCCACCTGCTCATTCACCTGCTCATCTGTCCATCCATCAATCCCACCTTGAGTTCCCACCACATATTAGAGCCTATGCTGAGAGTTGGAGATACACATACAAAAGACACAGCCCCTATCCTAAGTAATTTATATGCAGTCTGACAGGAATTAGAGAAACAAAAAATGATAGGCTACTTCTTTGCTCACTGTAGGAACTAAAGCAAAATAATTTTAATATACACTTCTGACCTCCTATAACAATCAACACTTCCA